TCTTTTATTCTCATATTCTTAAATATTTGTTTTCTTTGATATGAATCAAAATTAACAATCAGTAATTAAATCAAAGGACTCTCGCAAAGTTACGTGTTATTGGTTTTTTTTAATCGAATGACTAGTTTGCGCAAAAGATCCAAAAGAAATGAACATTCCTTATTGACTGATGAGTGGATTTTTTTTCTTTGCAAGAGAATTTATACTGTTTACCATAATAAGAATTTAACAATTAATTGCAAGCTAGTTAATTTTGCTTTTAGATAAAAATATAACTGTCCTACATTACAATGCATTGTAATGCTTGATGTACTGTCTAATTAAAACATACTTGGTCAATTTTTATTATTAGGCAAAACAGTGAAAAAAATATATACTTTTCTGTTTGACAGATAAGTGAATGTTTTGAGACTCAAACAATGCGCCGATGACTTTGTAGAACAATCAAAGACGCTTTTCAATACTGCTTAGCAGTACTTGTTTAGTGAGATAAGCTCACACTAAGTCCTTTACACGCGGCATTACCCGTAACCGTTATTTACTCTGACTTTAACACATGGTCATTTGTGAATGTCTCTCTAACGTCTTATATATAGTATACAAGCCTGTTACTCGTTAGCATTGCTTAAACATTTACATAATATAAAGCAGAAATCAATGTTCGTTTTGCCCACGTTGTTCAAAGGGACATAATTTGAGTTATCAAACTTGAAACAAAACTTACATTATGCAAATTTCCAAATAAACATTCAATCACAAGGACAAATTGTATATAAAAGCTGTCTTTGGAGGGTGGATGGTGGGAAATATTTCTAATACATTGACAAGTAAAAATACAAGTAGAATTGCACCATACTGCACTCTGCTGCAATACATTGCGATACATTGTGATGCCTGCCAAATTGCCCAGTCAAAATTAACTTAGTCAATTTTTTTTTCTTAATTGAATTTAAAAACTGATTGAATACACACATTTTTTTTTCATTCTATGTTTTAAAAAAAGGTTTCAAAAACAGACTAGAGAGCATTTCTTTTATTCTCATATTCTTAAATATTTGTTTTCTTTGATATGAATCAAAATTAACAATCAGTAATTAAGTCGAAGGACTCTCGCAAAGTTACGTGTTATTGGTTTTTTTTTAATCGAATGACTAGTTTGAGTATGCGCAAAAGATCCAAAAGAAATGAACACTCCTTATTGACTGATGAGTGGATTTTTTTTCTTTGCAAGAGAATTTATACTGTTTACCATAATAAGAATTTAACTGCATTTTATTGCACTGCACTGCAATGCAATGTCAATCTATAAAATGAAGTCCATTTTTGTTTTACATTATGATATTGAAAATAAGGTGTAAATTAACATATTTTCTAATATATTTTTATTTTTAAAAAAGTTTTGAAAAACAGACTGGATGGAATATTTTCATTCACATTTTCTTATATGATTGTTCTCTTTCATACGAATCTAATTAACAGTGCAGTAATAATGTCCTAGGATTTTTCCGACAAATTTTTTTCATTGCTGTTTAGTTTGGGTATATGAAAGATTGAAAAAGAGAGAAATCTCGTGTTTGATTGATGAGTGTAAATTTTGAGAGTGATGCAGATAAGCGCCAGGAAGGATAAACACAATATATTTTGATAACAGTACTTAGAGCTAAGTTCTCATGAAAGAACAGTTATTTTTGCTGATTTTTTTTTTATTGAAAGACTGATATGGATTTATGCTAAACATCCCGAGGAAAATTGGAGTGTCGAGTGAAGTTCTTTAATTGCAAGCTAGTTAATATTGCTTTTAAATAAAAATATAACTGTCCTACATTACATTGCATTGTAATGCTTGATGTACTGTCTAATTAAAACATACTTGGTCAATTTTTATTATTAGGCAAAACAGTGAAAAAAATATATACTTTTCTGTTTGACAGATAAGTGAATGTTTTGAGACTCAAACAATGCGCCGATGACTTTGTAGAACAATCAAAGACGCTTTTCAATACTGCTTAGCAGTACTTGTTTAGTGAGATAAGCTCACACTAAGTCCATTACACGCGGCATTACCCGTAACCGTTATTTACTCTGACTTTAACACATGGTCATTTGTGAATATCTCTCTAACGTCTTATATATAGTATACAAGCCTGTTACTCGTTAGCATTGCTTAAACATTTACATAATATAAAGCAGAAATCAATGTTCGTTTTGTCCACGTTGTTCAAAGGGACATAATTTGAGTTATCAAACTTGAAACAAAACTTGCATTATGCAAATTTCCAAATAAACATTCAATCACAAGGACAAATTGTATATAAAAGCTGTCTTTGGAGGGTGGATGATGGGGAATATTTCTAATACATTGACAAGTAAAATAATTGTGCTTGTTAAAATACAAGTAGAATTGCACCATACTGCACTCTGCTGCAATACATTGCGATACATTGTGATCCTGCCAAATTGCCCAGTCAAAATTAACTTAGTCAATTTTTTTTTCTTAATTGAATTTAAAAACTGATTGAATACACACATTTTTTTTCATTCTATGTTTAAAAAAAAGGTTTCAAAAACAGACTAGAGAGCATTTCTTCTATTCTCATTTTCTTAAATATTTTTTTCTTTGATATGAATCAAAATTAACAATCAGTAATTAAGTCGAAGGACTCTCGCAAAGTTACGTGTTATTGGTTTTTTTTTAATCGAATGACTAGTTTGAGTATGCGCAAAAGATCCAAAAGAAATGAACACTCCTCTTTGACTGATGAGTGGATTTTGTTTTGTTTGCAAGAGAATTTATACTGTTTACCATAATAAGAATTTAACTGCATTTTATTGCACAGCAGTAAAATGCAATGTCAATCAATAAAATGAAGTCCATTTTTGTTTTACATTATGATATTGAAAATAAGGTGTAAATTAACATATTTTCTAATATATTTTTATTTTTAAAAAAGTTTTGAAAAACAGACTGGATGGAATATTTTCATTCACATTTTCTTATATGATTGTTCTCTTTCATACGAATCTAAATTAACAATGCAGAAATAATGTCCTAGGATTTTTCCGACAATTTTTTTTCATTGCTGTTTATTATTTTATGCAACACCTAGTTTGGGTATATGAAAGATTGAAAAAGAGAGAAATCTCGTGTTTGACTGATGAGTGTAAATTTTGAGAGTGATGAGTATTGTTTTTTGAATGATTGACAGGCGGTAAATTTTGTTTTGAACATATTTTATTGACAATGTGTCAAAGGGATTGGACACAAGTTCTAAAAACTTAGATAGTCCTCTCCCATACATAAAATCTTAATAGCCATACAACATTTACAAAGATTTACAATTTTACAATATTATACATGAACGTAGAAGAACAAAGACAATAGTTATTATTGCTAAGGAATATCAGTTGATATAATGATGATTATAATGACGTCAATAACCATATTAAAATAGTTTCAAAAGGTAGTAAATACAAGTACATGTAAGTGTTAATTGAAACGACCAGTATCCTGAATAAATTTTTGAACAATACCAAATATTTTTTCATTTTCCTGCAAAGATAATGATTCATCTCCCCATAGCAGTTTATGCACATTTAACATTTTTACATTATTAATTACAAGTAATGCATTCAACATTAAACGTCTAGCTTCAAGATATTTTCTACACACAAGGAAATAATGATGACTATCCTCCTTATATCCACAAGAACAATTTGGATTCGTTATAATGTTACATCTATACAAGTCATGATTTAAAATACAATTGTGCCTTAATCTTGTACGTAAAATGTTCAAATACCTTTTGCCGTATGATAGATACTTGGGAGGCTTGTCATTATTATTATTCAATTTTCTTTTAAAAATTCCTATTGAAGTTATTTCCCTTGTTTCGTTACTCAATGAATTCCATTTGCGAATAGTATCAGGGACAAATGACTTATTTAGTAATTCAAGCCTGCACTTCGGTAAAAAATAATTACTTGAATTACGAGTATTATAATTTGATTACACTGTTTCTAACTACTGGTACTATATTTTTTAAATAACCAGGAACTAGGTTATTGTGGATTTTAAACATTGTTAAAAGTTTAGCTGTATCCCTTCTTATTATAAGAGGTTCCCATCCTGTTTCAACATACAACGAATTTCTTGACGCTAATACTGACAGACCTGTCACAATTCTTGCAGCGCTCAACTGAACCTTTTCAAGTTTTTCAATATCTGCAAACGAACAGCCTGACCAAACTTCAGATGCATACTCAAGTTGTGGTCGAATAAAGGAAACGTAAATTTTGGATAGAGTATCTCTAGACACTGAAAATTTAAGTTTCTTTAGAAGTCCAAGTTTTTTGTAGCCTTTACTGACAATACTATCAATGTAATCAGTCCAGCCTAATTTAGATGAGAAAATAACACCAAGATGTTTATGTTGTGTTACATATTCTAGCTGACAGTTCCCAAAAAATAATGCAGGTAATTGATTTGTATTTTTTAAGCTGAAAAACACTACTTTTGTTTTACTTGGATTAAATTTTAATAGCCATTTTTTGAACCACTCATCCAGAATTTTTAAATCGTGATTTAGGTTATGTTCAATAAGGCGAACGTCACTTGAACTTTCTTGTAAAGAGTTATCGTCTGCAAATAGTCTGCAAACAGATGTCATATTTTCGGCAACATCATTCACGTATATTAGAAATAAAAGAGCAAATTTTGGGGGCGTTAACGTAAAATTGGGTGTTTAAGCATACAATGATACATCCTAATTTTTTAGGCATCTAACGATATTCATCATTGTTCATTTATATGCTATAAGGAATTTAATCTATGAAGAAACAAGCCCTCCTTTTCAATTTTTTTTATTTAAAAGCAAAAGGAAAGTTAAACCACTAAAATGTTTGATCCACTCCACGCGCATCTATAAATGTTTTCCTATGACATCGCGCCACTCTATTTATAGATTCACTGAAAACCGTACTTTCTTTTTCTATCGTTGGATTTGTCAGCTGATATAGGAAGGACAACAACGATAGCACAGCCTGTCGATTCTGTATGGAGGATTTCTACATTGAAGGTATTATTCATCATGAATCACCTGCATTCTAAGTTTCTTTTTCCTCATCCTCATGATATTTTGAAATCAAATCATGTATGTACTTAGGTACAGCTTATTTTTAGAATTGAACTTTGTTTACATCGAGACTCGAGAGTATTGCTGCGCGAAGTGCTTATTTCCATCTCGGTATATGTGCTTGCGATAGTATGAGTGTATTATATAAGTGTTATCAAACATGAAAAAAGCGACAGTTGAAAAGTGATTATAAATTTAAAATCAGTAGTTGACATTTTGAATTCCTTCAATACTTATATATATTATATATAGTGCATCTATTACGTAACAAAAATTCCGGAACTATAGATAAATTCCTAAGTGTACACTATTTATACTCCTATATTACCTGTGATGCTCATAATAACATGTATTTTATGAAAATGAAAAAAAAAATTGAAGCCATTCATCAAATTCAGTTGTATTTCCATATCTCATTGTTTGAATAGGAGATATATTGATCTTTTTGATATAAAGGCTGATAACATACCCCTCAAACACTTAACAAGTCAGATATTAATCATAATTGTGAAAGTAATTTATGATGTCTGATCCGCATTAAAAAGAATATTATTTCCACTTGTCCATAACTGTAAACTGGATTATATTCCGAGTCTTCTATATATAGCACAGGTCTACACCCTTTTCATTTCCTCGTCTATAATATATCGGATAGACATACCAGATCTCTGGTATGTTTGTTCGAATTTCTGTCCCAGAAAGCTACAATTATGAAGCTAATAGGGTGAGAGAATGAGAATTTGAGAACGAAAAAAGCGAGCTCGAGAGAGAGCAAAGGAGCAACATGTTGACCTCGCTCCCTCGCCTTCTCAATTTCGATCTCTCAACGCAAACCCATTCGATTCTCGCTCCTTCAGCGCCCTTTCCTCCTACGAGCACGATTGGTCCTTGCAATAGACCATAAGTAAGGCATGGCTGGAGGAGGGGGGCGGGGCGGGGGGCCGTGCCCCCAATAATTTTACCGATATATAGAATACTATAGAAAACATAGCTACTATATGCTTGTGTCCCCTCAATAGAAAAATTTAATAACTTTTTTTTTTGGCTTGTCAAGGATTTTTCGTAGTGTAGTTGTGCCCCCAACTGAAAATGTATGGCTGTGCCCCCCACAACTGAAATTGCTTCCTACGGACCTGTAAGGGTGTGAAAGGCCCTACTGCTTTTCCATGTATATTGTAAATCTGGTTGAATTTCGGGTATGTGTATAGGAGGGAGCGTCTCCTAATTGAAAATCTTTGCATCTGATATCCGAAAACCAAGTGACTTGTCTGTCCTCTCCAACTGATATTAATGAAACATGAAAAATGCACTCTGGAAAAAAGTTTAAATTACACGTAAATACGTAATGTACCCAACTAGCCAAAGTACTAGTAAACTCTCTCTCTCTCTCTCTCTCTCTCTCTCTCTCTCTCTCTCTCTCTGAGGGTGTGTGTGTCCAAGTCAATGTTATTTATTAAGTCAGATTTTTTCAATATTCAACAGGTCTGTTTCGGAATTGACAACCTCCATGTGTTGTACTTTTACCTATAAAGAAAAGACTACATTCTGGTAATCTGAACCATGTCCGATGATTGCCGGAGACGAATTATCCGTGACAACCTTGTTGAGTTGATAAGGCGCTTGCATCCCGCAGAGTTACTACCACACCTTACATGTCTTTCAATACAGGCAAAGGTTTGAATTACTGTTTCAACAATAAAACATACACTAGACAAAATTGCTAACGCACCACTTGTTATTCTTATTTATGAATGGAACATTTGCCTGATCGGTACTAGTATATAATATATGCCATCTTTTCTAAAACAATGGGATTGACAAAAGTCTTTGTATCATGACAAGACCTTTAAATGACTTTCTTGCCCGAAAACCAATTTCCCAACGTGCACTGCGCACAGTTTTTGCCTATATTTGGAGTTGGTGATTACCGATGGTGGTCCATAAGGTTGCAACAGAACTATTCTTCCAGTTAAAAATCAAATAATGTACAGCGATTGACTATCACATCGCCTAAAAGTCATCCAGTGCCATGGTGTCCATACCCTGTCCACCCAACTTCCGGTTGCCCAAATTTTGTGGAACAATCTTGAAATTGTCATGCGGTACTTATCTATAGTAAACATTTTTATGTTTGATAATCTATTTGCAACATTTTTTTTAATAGAGGAATGAATAATCTTTTATTGTTTTAATTTTTACAAATTTCTCCAAAGGAACCTGAATATACCGGTACAACATGTCAATCCAGTATTTTTAGCTATATCTTGAAAAGTTTTAGCGCCTGAATTGAAGTAAATTATTGAAATAATTCACAATTACTATGTTTCCATAAATGATTGCATCAAATTACTTTGCACATAATGGTGAATATTTTTTTAAAAGTTAAGACAAAAACAAGCGTTTATTATCATAATTTATCAATTCTTTTCAGCAAAAGATAAGGTGCAGATTAGAAAATGAGGGTCAAGTTTCAGCAAGCACTTTATTACTGGAGGAGCTGCCGAGGAAAGATAGATGGTGGGAACAGTTTATGGCAGCTTTACGACATCCGTTAGTTGACATGGATGATGTCGCTGATTTGTTAGAAGCAAATATCGAATCTCTCTCGGAAACGCACATAAACAAGAATTATCTTCATAATAAAGAAAAATATAGTAAGTCATATTACATTAATCTTTCCACTGTATCTTAAATGGATTATTATTTTGTTTCCTATTGTGATAAAAAAAAATTGACCGGCTTTTTTTTTTTTTTGCGAGAATACCGGTATTTTAAACCTTCGAAGTTTAAATAAATGGTTTACAAAACGTTCTATTAATAAAAGCATATTTATTTTTTAAACAGAAAGAAAAGAAAAGATTGATTGGTCAACTCCTCTCGATAAGTTGCCTTACACTGTTGTCCAAATTCTGAAGAAACTGGATGTGGACTCCAAGTGGAAAGATTTGGCAGCTCATTTAGGTACAGTAAATGTGTACCTTTATATGATTAAAAACTTTTATTCCATCACTTGATATACTCATCAATTAAACATGCCTTAGTTTGATGACACCTTTCCTTCTTTTGTCAGAGTACACTGTTGAGGAGGTGGGACGGTTTGAGGTATATACGGATAAAGACGGGAGTCATGTTACAAAATTTTACCATGACCTCGCAAAAAATCCAGCTTTTAATCTCGAACAACTCGTCTGTATTCTGAGAGAAATGGAAAGAAAAGATATTTTGGAAGATCTACGTCATATCAAGGAATTAAGACATCTAGACTGGGATAGTTATACCACGATGGCTTTTACAGAGAGTGCTTCACAGAGTCACCTCCTGTCGTATCCTCTTGAAGTCACAACCATTGCTAGACAAGAGAGTAGCCAGGGAGAGTCAGAACTGTACGTCGCTTCGAGGAATTCAAATAGTATACCTACTGACGTAAGTCCCGGTTCAAACGGAAGTCACGCAGAGAAAGATGAGAAAAATACCTCTGGCGTTACATTAGGAGGAACGCAGCTTATGTCAATGGATACTTCAGCTGCAATTGAAGGACCTGCGCAACTTCGTGGTGACACCGATAACTGTGCCGAAAGAATTGTTCCAAACAATGAGACTGATGACATGGGCAGTGTTGCTAAAACGCAGGGCGGTCATATCAATGAATACTTTGATAATAACAATTATCCCCCCAAGGGAAATACACAGCCTTTCCCAGAGGACTCTACAACAAATGAAGGTTCAACAAAGACAGGACTGTGCAGACGACAGGAAGTGGGAAATACTGTCCCGTTCAGCGCTCAATCCAGCAATCTGAACAAAACTGTTATTGGTATCGCGGCAACAGGATTAATTGCTTATCTTGTTCTTAATTTGAAACGCTAATTTTAGTTTGTTGCTGATTTTGGTGATATACGAATACATACATGTACATGCATGTCAATGTCTGTGATATATATGAGATTTGATAATTATTTTCACTGAATCCTTTTTCAGGGATAAGATTTCTTTATTGCTAATAAATTTGTATTAACTTATATACTACTTTGTTCATTACTGAGCATGTATTTAAAACCATGCAGTCATTCGTCATACATACGCGTATGGTCTTGCACCCAACTGCTGGAGCTAGAAAAGACATCACATCATTCATGTAATGGTAATTCTTGTTAAATTAACATAAACATGTACGTACTCTTACTGAAGTAATTTACATAAGCTAATAGCCGTTATTGAGAGTAATTAGCTTTTCTTGCAAATATCGTGAAAAATGAATTGAAAAGTTTTTATTTACATGTTATAACCATGCACCTTTAACCAAGTTCATAATCGGGTAGTCACTTTTTATGTTTATAAGAAGTTTACAGTCATGCAAAGATTGGTGTTGGTTAAAGGTGGTTATGACATAAAAAGAAGTTGCCTAACACACCCACCCTCTTGAGTTTTCCCATTACTCTAATGCTAATACGGACCGATAGTACATTACTTCGTGACCCTATACTATAACAAATCAAATACTATATAGCACCATTAACCAATCAATATTTATCATTAAATTGCATCATTAGCCTATAGCTACTGAATTACGCAATTTTCAAGGAAAAAATACTACTTGAAAATTTGAAGTCATTGTAGGCTGCGAAACGGCCTTATAGAAAATGTCCCTATATCTAATTTACAGTATACATGTACAACGGTTATCCGTAAAGTTCGTTTACTAAATATACAAGGCTTATCCGTTAAGTTCGTGGCCAGCCGCTATTTAACGACATTAACATCATAACATCAAATAAATGTGGATATTTTAGACATAAAATATCAATATTAGACCTCTCTACAAACCGATCTATCACTGTTTTATGCAAAATAAATTTATCATATAATTTTTGCGAAACAAATACTATAAATATTAAATATATGCATATTTACAATATAATATGTATCAAAATAGGCCTAGAGTAGGAAAAGTGCTCGCTCCGTGATCATCTCATCTCTTGCAAGGGGTCTAGACTATCTAAACTACAATCAACTGATGCTATTATTAATAATTCTTTATAATCTTTAATACCAGGCGCGTGGCTGCCTATACGCAAGTGTGTACACATCATTTTCCAAAAAAAAAAAAAAAAATTCCCCAAAAAAAAGAAAGAAAAGAAAAAAGAGAGAATTATTCGGAGAAAAAAATCTCAGTAACATCCAAGAAATATTTGTGTTTCAAATTGTTCTGTGTCATACTTTTCGATTTAAATTTTAAATAATCATGGCTGTATGATAAAATTTGAAATTCTATATTTAATCAATGCCAAATCCAAATAAATCATTCATTATTTTGTCATTGTTCTATCATACATTGATATCTTTTTTAAAGATCTTTGAGAAATTAAAATGTTAACCACATCGTTGAATGCTATGATCTACTAGTTTGATTTCATAGGCGTCGGAAGCAAATTGAAAGTGAGGTGGCTAATTGAAAGGGGGGGGGGGGGCTAAACCAACGAAAAAAAAAGGTAAGCCCCAATTTTCAATGCCTATATTAAGTCTATCTTTGCAAAAAATGATACTGCTGATGAGGGTCTAGAATTAAGCTCCTGAGTTTTACCAAATATTTCATTCATTTTCTTGCAAAATAAAAATTGGGCCATTTAGCTTTTGTTTAGGAAATAAAAGACGTTAGAAAATAAAAGACATAGTAATATTTATTGTTTTAACAAAGTTAAAACTTCCCTGGAAACTTATTGTACATGTAGTTGAGTCTTAAAATATAACAGATATATTGGTATCATATGATTTTTTTTAACGTTTAAAAACATGTATACTAAATTTTAATTATGAACAAAAAATATCGTATTGTAAATCATAGGGGTCGGAACCAGGGGGGCTGGGGGGGGGGGGCTTAGCCACTTTTTTTGCCCCCCCCCCCCCTGATACTATACTTTCCTGTATATTAATGGGCATCATGGAGATCAAAAAACGGATGGAGGAGAGAAGTAACTATGAAAATCTTAACTGTGAGATAATGGATAAAAGCTATTCCGCATTGTCCCATTTGTGGAATTCTTGTTATCTATTCAACTTCAAACGTAGGTAATTTTGGAAGCAGTAAAAGTATCATTTTATTTCAGATAATCATCGTATAAGGAGATATATTATCATTAACCCGCATGATGTAGGAACAGATGTCGATACTGGTCTACGAGAAGATGAGATCGAACATTACCACATCCCGAGGTGGATGTTAAGGGATTAAATCTAAGTCCAGATCTCGAAGTCCCAATTAGTCCTTGACTTTTAGAAACATCGATGTTTTTTTCTTGACAACGATGTTGAACTAGTTGGCTAGCTAGTCTTTTTTTCTAAAAAAAAAAAAAGAACTTTGACGGTTATCTTTGACAAAATAGGGGACTTATTCTTAAGGATCTTTTTTGCATGAATGAAACATTTTTATTCGTGCATGAAGTACAAGTGCTTACAGATTCTGATGATATTAGTTTTGTTAAAAATGTATATTGTCCGAAGAATCATTCATACTGGAGGTTACTATGCACAAAATGCATATGTTTATAGACTTAAAAGTTATTTTCTTTTGTATAAATTGTACAAATATATTGTTTATTGTATATATTGTTTACGAAAATAAAAGATCAAATGTCAAAAAAAAATGTCTTTCGTAAATTTTTTTTTTACATATATATATATCACATAATCTTCGGCAATTGGGGGGGGGGGGTTCAGGTAGAAAATTGTATTATATAGATTAATAGATTAATATGGTATTTCAGATTTGTTGGATTGTGTAAGAGTGGAGGGAAAAATTAGTAAATGAGCCATTTTTGATTTATCAATAGATCTCAATAGATTACAAATTCCCTGCTCAATATCATTTTACAGTACTGCTAATCCCCAACTATGAAATTCATTTTTAGCTCACCTGAGCTGAAGGCTCAAGTGAGCTTTTCTGATCACATTTTGTCCGACGTCCGTCTGTCTGTAAACTTTTCACATTTTCGACTTCTCAAGAACCACTTGGCCAATTTCAACCAAACTTGCCACACAGTATCCTTGGGTAAAGGGAATTTCAGTTTCTTCAAATGAAGAGTCACGCCCTCTTCCAATCAGAGACAATTAAAAGTTAGAGAAAAATTAATGACATCTTTTTAAAATCTTCTTCTCAAGAACCACTGGGCCAGGTAAGATAAAACCTAACATCCTCAGGTAGTATAGATTTAAGTTCGTTCAAATCATGACCCCCGGGGCTAGGGTTGGGCCACAATGGACGATCAAAGTTTTACATAGGAATACATGTATATACACTTGTAGGAAAAATATTTAAAATTCTTCTTCTCAAAAACAGCAAAGCCATGATTGGTCTTTAGTTATCTATATGGAAGCATCCTCAGGTAGTCTGGATTCAAACTGTTCAAATCATGACCCCCGGTGGTACACTGAGGCCACAATGGACAATCAAAGTTTCACGTAGATATATATAGGAAAATTCTTTAAAAATCTTCTTCTCGAGAACAGCAAAGCCATGATTGGCTAGATCCTCAGGTGGTGTAGATTCAAGATTGTTCAAATCATGACCCCCGGGGATAGGGTGGGGCCACAGTAGAAGATTAATGGTATCGGGAAAATTCTTGAAAAATCTTCTAAAGCCATGATTAGTTAAAGAAAATTAATATGGAAACATCTTCAGGTAGTATAGAAATCATCCCCTTTGACCACTTTCATGTATATATAGTTCAACTTTTCAGTACTAAACTGATTTCTGCTTTTTCTTATCTTAAGTGCTCAGGTGAGCGATATGGCCCATGGGCCTCTTGTTTTGTTACTGTCAACAATCTATCACTGTCGATTTTCAGTGTCTAGTAATAATTGATGCAAGTCCTTTCGTCTGAACCTTTATAAGAGAAAACCTTAAAAATACATGTATTGTGACTCTCTATCCGGTTTTTGCAGTGTTATTAAAATATGAAAGATTTTTTTGTGTTTAAACTTTTTGTCATCTGCCGTAAGGAAAGTACAAGAAATGAAGGTTTTCCAACAGCACACCTCGCTGAGGTACATGTAAGTTACATTTACATTCAAATTCTTTCTTATATTTTCCTACTCAGTACTGTGCTTTTGATCATCTCGACCATCATTTTACTTTTGGCCACCATTTCTTACATGAACAAAGTCCATGCTTGTAATCCTAATTTATAGCTTAAGACATTGTTTCTCTTTAGTCCCTTCATTCCAAAATATCTTAGAGGATGATTGGGTAACAACCATATCGTTCCCTGACGTCTCTACCCATGGAACCTCAGGATCGAAGTCAGGTCATGTTGAGAAGAAAGGGTGCTACCTGGCCCCAGGATCTTGAAACAGACTTGTAGACTTGAATCAAATTTTCAATCGACTGTTAATGATTTATTAATTATTGAATTAATCTCTAAATTCGCAGATAACAAGATTTTTATGAAGCAATATTGAAGCATATTTTATTGTTGGTTTGCTTGACCTCTAAAATATTCTAGTACAGCATAAAGATTTTGACTAAGGCTTAAGATATTTCATAATCTCGGGTCTGGACTCCTTTGGCTATTTACACATTCGTGTATACACTACATGTATATATAAGAAGATGAAAGATTCTGTGTTTTCTGTCAATCTTAGCTGTGTTCCAGGATTCACGATAGTACTGGGCCAAATATGAACTCCATGCATAGATTTTTTAAATAATTAATTTTATTACAAAGACCGAAGGACATACTCAAAATTAAGTTATCGTTAAAACTTCTTTTAAATTACATACAATGCATTTTGCGAAAATTAAAGCACAAACTAAGCACAATAAAGTCTTTACTATGTACTATTATATGAAATAGATGTTTGATTCAGTTAAAAAAAAAAATTAAAAGCATATCCCTCCCAAATAAAAAAAAGTTTATTCAGAGAAATACTTCGACAGAGAATATTTATTTATCATTATGTGGCAGTTCTCACTGGCGGATTTAAAGGGGGCGTGGGGGGCGCACGCCCCCCCCCCCTAAAATTTTCAAAGTATGATATGACTAATATTAATAATGCCATACTTTGGTATATAACTAACCGATAGCACGATTTTTGTGCCTGGTTTTACTCTTAAAATACACGAAAACCCAGGAGCTTCCGGGGGCTTCGCCCCCTGGGCCCCCTCTATTCAAAGTATGATATGACTAGTATTAATAATGCCAAACTTTGGTACATATAAACTAACCAATACCACTATTATTGTGCCTGGTTTTACTCTTAAAATACACGAAAACCTAGGAGCTTAATTCCGGGGGCTTCGCCCCCTGGGCCCCCACCAGGGCTTCGCCCTGGACCCCCAGACCCCCTGCCTGAACGAAGTTATCCACGCCCCCCCCCCCCCTAATCACAAATCCTGTATCCGCCCATGGTTCTAACTATTCATAGTTTTGATTTCATACTATTGTTTGCGGAAGAATACTTTACAGCATATTCAGTATACTTCGATTGACCGATTGTTGTTTTACATCCCTTGCGAGAATTTTTCACTCATATTAGAGTCATCAAATACCGGTGATAAGCTTCAAATTTATACCTTTTCTCGGCACTCAAACCCACTGAGCAGTGGGGGTTCTTTAGCATGCGAACGACTAACTCAGTATGATTTCTACAGATGGTAAAACTATCTTGGTATTGAATAGAGGTTGTTTCTTCGACCAGGAAAATTTTATACATTTTGAGGGAATTTTTAAAATAGTGTTTAGAGATTCACGATTATTTCAGTTACTCCCTGGCCTTAGTATTTATTCTGGTTTTATTCATTTTGATTAATATGTATCACGGATGATAAGCAATATAAGCTTATTAAAATTTGGAATATAGAAATGCTGCAATAATCTGACTCTAGGGTTGTTGTTCTTATATTTAGATGCAATTCCAACTTTATAAGCACCTATTTCTGTGTACGCAGAGAAATTTCATGTTCATGTTATTTCACAAATACGTACATAAGTGTTTATAATAAGCAAGTTTTCAATGAGAAATTCAAGTACATGAAGAATTATTCCACACACAAAATTGCATGGATTCCTTTCTACAAGTTTTTATCCAAATAAGTTACGATTTCCTTTAACGCTTTAAAAGAGTTCTTATAAAACTCGAGGAACAGAAATGGATGGTCCATTCCGCTCCAGTGACGATGCGTGACGTCAACATCCAGTTTACGCAATCTGTCTGCGAGGAAAAATGCATCGTCTCGTATGCAATCTATCTCCGTGGACAAAATGTACGTTTTTGGTAACTTTTTGAGAATTTCGTCATCAGCAAACAGAGGTGAGAACAAAGGATTCGGAAACTTGTCGTTCAACTTTCTTGCCAATCCGGAATCCGTTATCTTAGACATCGTCTTCTTAATCGTCGGTTTCTCCAAACTTTTCGGAAGGACATCACTACTAACGAGTTTTGGATAATAAGACTTCCTGATTTCGTCAGTCCAGTGGGCATTTTCCAGTAACTTCCCTATTTCAGAATTGTCAAGAGTCGCAAAACCAAGCGCATATGTGATCAAGAATTTTAACATAAACTCAGCATTCGGAAAAGTTGGAGCTTTATGATTGTCATAAATTTGATAAGACGGAGTCATAAAACTCAAAGCTTGAATAAATGGAACCAAGGCTATCTGAACTTTGAACTTTGGTAGATCGGGTACAGCTTCCGTTATCATTCTTGTCAACATATTCATGGTCAAATTTGCACCTGCACCATCCCCTATAAAAAAGTTTAAAATTAAAATATTTTCTTTTTATAGCGCTTATAAATGTACCGTAAGTGGTTTCTTTTTTCACAATGATTCTTAATCTGAAACTTAATTTGCACTAACTATCATGATGATCATATTTTATTCAAGAGAGAGATATTGTTTACCCATCAGGACAAGTTTTTCAGAATCCATATTAAGTTCTTCGGTATTTCTCTGTACGTATCGTGTTACAGCGAAACAATCGTCCACCGCAGCGGGAAATGGAAATTCCGGCGCCAGACGATATCTATACAAAGTAAATGTAAGAGAAGAAATATAGATGTAGAGATACTGGACGACTAAGATCTTTTGAAATGTGTATCAACTCCAATTTCTAGGCAAAAATTAAAAATATCATTTATCAACATAATTATTCCTTTATATTTTCTTATGGTAAACCTTTAGATGTGATATTTTGCTTCAGATGATATTAAAACTTGCAATTCGAGAAGCAATATTTTATCAAACAGTTCTCAGGACTTTTCAAATGCCCCTCGTAATTTTAATTAAAGGAAAAAAAAAATCATTTATGAATGTAAAAAAATCATTCATTTATATAATGTGAAAATTGCTGTTGAACAGAGGAAAATATATTAAATGCAAGTAAGTAGCATACTCTACCTCATGTAAACATAGTGAGTGGCATATAACCTATCTGACGAACATAGAAAGTAACATTACCAAACTTGAATGAACATAGTAAGTAGCACAACCTTCTTCAAGGAAACAGAGTGAAAATTATAACCTACTTCTCGTAAATATAGTGAAAAGCATAACTTACCTAGTGAGTAGAATAACCTTAAACATAGTGAGTAGCATAACCTCTAACTCACGTAAACATAGTACGTACCATTTCCTACCTCACGTAAGTATTCATACATAGAATAACCTACCTTATGTTGACACAGTAAGAAGTATAACCTTTGATAAACACAGAAAGGAGAATATCCTACCTCACGTAAACATAGTGAAAAGCACTACCTATCTGACGAACACAGTGAGTTGCATAACCTATCTCACAAAAAACATAGTGAGTAGCATAACCTATCTCACAAAAAACATAGTGAGTAGCATAACCTATCTCACAAAAAACATAGTGAGTAGCATAACCTGTCTCACAAAAAACAGTGAGTTGCATGCCCTACTTCATGTTAAAATATACATATACACTCAAGTAAACATAATGATTACCATGCCTAACACACAAAAAAACAAAAAACAAAAACAAAAAACAAAAAAAAAACAAAACAAAAAAAAACAACAACAGTAGAATAGCCTACCACATATCCTAAAAGAGAAACTGTGACGGTACATATTGTCGTTTTGTACATATTGTCGTCGGCGACAATATATACCTACCCTCACTGCACATATTGTCGTCCATTGGTACATATTGTCGCCGGCGACAATATGTACCGAGACGAGCATTATTTTCCTCCTGCATAATGGACGACAAAATGTACAGTCAAGCACAAGCACATATTGTCGTCGGCGACAATATGTACAGTCAAGGTCGGCATACATGTATATTGTCGTCCATGTATTGTTTTGACGAATATTTACTTGAGAAAAGAAAGAGAGATTGACCAACAAACACAAACGCACGGAGAGAGACAGACAGCATTACTTGCAATATTTTAGGGAGAATACTTTTTGGTCAGAAAATTGTGTCCAGGATTGATGTACAGCACTATAATATGTCAAGATACCGTAATTCTTGAGATATCTGATAAATCAGCCTATTCTTTTTTTCTTGTAATACATACTTGGAGATTGAATACTTGTATTAGTTTTTTTGTTCAGTAGTAATGATTATTTGGAATTTTTTATTTTGCGTTATTCTTATATTGGTGTTGGGGTTGACATTTTTAAATCACCTGAACTGGCAGTTCAAGTGAGCTTTTCTGATCATTTTGTCTGACAGTCCATCTGTCTGTAAACTTTTCATAATTTCAGCTTCTTCTCAAGAACTTCTGGGTCAATTTCAAGCAAACTTGTCACAAAGCATCCGTGGATAAAGGGGATTCAAGTTTGTTCAAATGAAGGGCCATGCCCTCTTTTAATGGAAGTAGTTAAAAATTAGCGAGAATTTAGTGGCATCTTTTAAAAATCTTCTCAAGAACCACCGTGTCAGAAAAGCTAAAATTGATGTGAAAGCTTCATTGTGAAGTGTAGAATCAGTTTTATTCAGATCATGTCCCTGATGGGAAAGGGTGTGGCTGCAATAGGTGATCAATATTTTTCATATACTATTTAGAAAAAAAAATCTTTCAAAGTCTTCTTTCAAGAACTACTGGGTCAGAAGAGATGATACTTATGTGAAAGCTTTCATACCGTACGTTCAATTTTGAAGTACAGGCATGAAAAAGATCCCTCACTGCTATGACTCTGAGTATCGAGTAAAGGTCTAAATTTGCGGCCCTCCACCGACAAGTGGTGACGTCTCCATGATTGAAAAATTCTCGAGAGGGACATTATAACAGCAAACATAAACAAGTTTGTTCAAATCATGACCCCAGGGGTAGGGTGAGGCCACAATGGGTGATCAAAGCTTTACCTAAGAATATATACAGAAAATCTTTAAAATCTTCTCAAAAATCAAAGACACATGTAGCACCGGCGCCCCCCCCCCCCCCCCCCCCCACTGGTTTGATTTTTTTTTGCTTTGGTAAATTCTGTTTGTTTAACTAGTATATACTCTCAATTTAGAACATAGGTTAAATTTTATAATTAGATTATTTACTTAGCATATACATTAAAACACCTTTACATACAAATGACTTTTTTTTTGCTTGCCAAAAAAAATCTGAACCGCAACCCCCTCCTCCCCCTCCCTTTCTGAAATTTCTGGATCCATCACTGAGGAACAGCGGTAGGGCCTGTGATAAGTAATGTTTACATGGAAGCATTATCAGGTAGCGCAGATTCAAATCAAACCTGGCCTAGGGTGGGGCCACAATGGATGATCTCAGTTTTACAATTTTAGGAATATATGGGAAACTTCTATTAAAACTATCTTCTCAAAAACAGCAAAGCAATGATTAGTCATATTTATATGGAACATTGCAGTGCATTGTCATGCGACATGTTCTGATGGACAACATATGCGCAGTGGGCGTAGGTACAAATTGTCGCCGGCGACAATATGAACAGGACGACAAAATGTACCGTCACAATCACGCTGCATGAAATAACATACGAGACACGTTAGTGTGATTCACACAGCAATTACATTTACAAAACTACCAAAAAACCACAAAAGAAATCTTTAAGCAACAATATCTGTGGGGCGACAATATGTACAGTGAGGGTGAGGTACATAATGTCGCCAGCGACAATATGTACATGTGTAACTTTTCAGCCGGCGACAAAATGTACCGGTGGACGACAATATGTGCAGTGAGGGTAGGTACATATTGTCGCCGACGACAATATGTACAAAACGACAATATGTACCGTCACAAGGTTTCTACTCCCTATGTTATTGTGAAATAAGATATGCTACTCACTATGTTTACGTGAGGTACATTATGCTACTAGCTTTATCAAGAAAGATGGGTTATGCTATACTCACAATGCACGAGGTCATTCAATAAGTAATGCAACACACATTTTATCATATTAAATGTAGAAGTATTTCATTTTATTTTTTAACAGTTGAAAAGTTCTATTACGGAACTAATCACAGAAAATCCCGTGCTTTTTCCCATTATCCTGCAAAGAAATTCCCTTTTAAGGTAACCATGGTCACTACACTGAGCTGAAAAGTGGAAACTGTTTAAAAATGATCTCTGCCAAGAACATGAAAATGACGTATGTAAAAAACACAAACAGAGGAAGAACCTATATTAAAGATATGAATTTGATTTGGAAAAACTACTTGTAGTCTTTAACGCTGTATAGTTTTCAGATGGATTCAGAAATTCAAAAGTAAAAAAGAGAGTTAAACTGGTCAATCGAAATTTGTAGGGACACAAACAATATCGTTGCAGTGAGCAATATGATATCTAAAAATGCCAGATTTATATTGACAGACATTTCTAAGACACTGAACATTTCATCATCACAACAGCTTATGGAGTTCTGATAAAGGAAATGATCTAACAAAAAATCTGTCAGATGGGTGCCTTATTTCCCTACAAATGCCTAAGAGAAAACACGCTTCAAATGTGCCAATGATCTTTTTAAAAATATACATTTATAAAAGAAAAAAAGATTTGATAAACTAGGGTGATGGATGACGAAACGTGGTTGCACTTTGTATAGCCATAAAAGAAGACCAATAATAAAATGTGGAGTCAGAGAGAAAGTTGTCGTCCTATTGCTGCAAAGAGTGCCAAGGGCTCCAAACATGTTTTATTAGTTTTCTTTTTATCAAGAGGTCCAGTAAAACATTTTCATACACCTTAAGGAAAGCCCATCAATGGTTACTTTTATGTTAAAATTGCACTAAAGAAAGTTAAACAGATTTCCTGTAAAGGAAGTCCAAATACCGGTCCCCAGTTTAATTTTCATGTACCTGACAATGCTACTGCAAATAAGCATAGAGAAATAAATAAAATTTTGAAGGAAGGAAAGTTTATGGAGCTTAACCATCCCTCCCCCCTCCCCCCCCCCCCCCCCATATTCACTAGATCTCAGCAATTGTGAGATCTATTTAATCCAAAAACGCAAGAATACAAAGGAAGACTTTAAAGTTTCAGATATGTCATGGGAAGTGCTATTCATCAGTGCCTTTTGGGCATTCTTAATGATGAATATGCCGAGGTTTTCCGGTGAAGTGTACAAAGACTTAAGACAAGTGTAAAGGATAACAGGAAATACTTTGAGTTTGAAAATATTAAGAATCTGCTTTACTTGTTTGTCTTAATTTTAGATGATCTTTTGCATTATTTATTGAACGACCCTGTGACGGTACATATTGTCGTTTTGTACATATTGTCGTCGGCGACAATATGTACCTAACCTCACTGCACATATTGTCGTCCATCGGTACATGTTGTCGCCGACTGAAAAGTTGGCGACAATGTACATATTGTCGCTGGCGACATTATGTGTCTCACCCTCACTGTACATATTGTCGCCCCACAGATATTGTTGCTTAAAGATTTCTTTCGTTGTTTTTTGGTAGTTTTGTGAATGTAATTGGTGTGTGAATCACACTGACGTGTCTCGTGTGCTATTTCATGCAGCGTGATTGTGACGGTACATTTTGTCGTCCTGTTTATATTGTCGTCGGCGACAATGTGTACCTACCCGCATATTGTCGTCCATCAGAACATGTCGTATGACTATGCACTGCAATGCTCCATATAAACATGACTAATCATTTTTTTGTTGTTTTTGAGAAGATAATTTTTAAAGAATTTTCACATATATTCCTATGTTAAACTTTGATCGCCCATTGTGGCCCCACCCTAGGCCCGGTTTGATTTGAACATATACTCGTACAAGTTAAATAAACAGAATTTACCAAAGCAAAAAAAAAAAAAATCAAACCGCTGGGAAGGGGGGGGGGGTGCTGGTGCTACATCTGTCTGGTTTATGAAAAGATTTTTAAAGATTTTCCGTATATATTCTATGTAAAATTTTGATCATCCATTGTGGCCAAACCCTACCCCTGGGGTTATGATTTGAACAAAATTGATTTTGTTTTTGTTTGTTTTTCTGCTAGAATGTCCATCCCGAGAATGTTTTATTTGTATGTATGCAAAGTTAGAACTATACTTGGCACTCATGGTCATTGAGCTGTGAGGGATCTTTTTCATGCCAGCACCTCAAAACTGAACGTACGCTATTTAATGAAACTTTCACATAAGTATCATCTCTTCTGACCCAGTAGTTCTTGAAAAAAAAGATTTTAAAAAGATTTTTTTTCTAAATATTTTATGAAAAACTTTGATCACCTATTGTTGCCACACCCTTTCCCCGAGGGGCATGATCTGATTATAACTGAATCTACACTTCATAATGAAGCTTTCACACAACTTTAAACTTTTCTGACACAGTGGTTCTTGAGAAAATTTTTAAAAGAAGTCACTAAATTTTCACTAATTCCCTTGAAAGAGGGCATGGCCCTTTATTTGAAACTTTAATCCCCTTTATCCACGGATGCGTTGTGGCAAGTTTGGTTGACTGACCCTAAGCAACGGTTTCAAAATTGGGGGGAAGGGCAACTTCCAAAAAAAAAAATTAAACTGACCAAAGAGGGGGGAGGGACAATTTCCCAAAATTATCTGACAAGCAAAAAAAAAAGATAATTTACTGTCCGAATCCTGAAATTTACTATAGCAAAATAGTATCCTCATAAAAATTGGGGCGGCGGACCATCTGCCCTCTCCCCATCCCGTGTTTTTCGGGCCTGGTTGAAATTGACCCAGTAGTTCTTGAGAAGAAGCTGAAATAGTGAAAACTTAACAGAAAAAGGAACGGTCAGACAAAATGTGATCAGAAACGTTCAGCTTAACTTCCAGTTCAGATGATCTAAAAATGCCAACCTCAACACCAATTACTAGTATAACGGCACATGATTGTATATAAGAATAATGCAAAAAAAATAATTTCCAAATAATCATTACTATTGAACAAGAAACCTAATACATGTATTCAATCTCCAAGTATATATTACAAGAAAATAGAATAGGCTGATTTATCAGATATCTCAAGATTTACGGTATCGTGACATATCATAGTGATATACATATGATCAATCCTTACACAATTTTCTGACTAGAAAAGTTTTCTCCCTACAGTATTGCGAGTAATGCTGTCTGTCTCCCTCCGTGCGTGTGTGTATGTTTGTTAATCTCTCTTTCTTTTCTCAAGTAAATATTCGTCAAAACAATATACATGTATATATATTTATTTATTATTCCAAATCGGGGCCCTTTTGAGCATATTACATACATGATTTTTAAACAGAACATATAAGTATAATAATTATTCACAAAATGTGATAATAGTAATATTCAGCATAATTATTCTTAATACATATACTTAGTCAATTTACTCATGGTTCATAAGTTGAGATAATTGCTAACATTTACAATTTAAAATACACATTGTAAAGTATAAACAAGTACCACCGTGTACCATAATGCAAAAAAGCCAGAGATATACATATACAAAAATATATACTGAATAAATATATTCCACTAAATTGCAAAAGATACCACGGGACAGTGCATTGGTACTTTATAAGTCACCATGTTTGCATATCTTATGACCAAACTAACATTTATTGAGTTTTAAAGTATGCAATTCTATATACACGTAGAAGACACATTATATTTCTCCCTTGATCAATTCACAAAGGGATTTAAGAACATCATAATTTTCACAATTCAATATCCATATTAATTTGTTCATGTTATCAAGAAGTAAAATTTGTTTACAATGTTGTTGTATACTTTCATACATATTTTGCCTAAGTAAATTATGTTTTGGGCATTCAAAGAGTAAATGAATTTCATCTCCAACTTGGTGAGAAGAACAATTTGTACAAGTTCTTAGTTGTCTGGGAATCCCTAAGTAACGACCTCGTTCTATTGGTAAATTATGTGCTGATGTCCGCAACCTTGTAAGTACTTTGCGTTTTTCAGGTGACAACAGTGCTAGGTAATTTTCAAAAACCAAATTAGTTTTAAATTTTATATATAAGTTTCAAGTTTTCCTTTTTGTAAATTTCTCATATTGTACCATTCATTATATCGACGACAATATATGCCGACCTTGACTGTACATATTGTCGACGACGGCAATATGTGCTTGTGCTTGACTGCACATTTTGTCGTCCATTATGCAGGAGGAATATAAGGCTCACCTTGGTACATATTGTCGCCGGCGACAATATGTACCAATGGACGACAATATGTGCAGTGAGGGTAGGTATATATTGTCGCCGACGACAATATGTACAAAACGACAGTATGTACCATCACAAACCTACCTCATGTTAGTATTGTTAGTAGCAAATAACCTACCTAAAGTATTCATATTAAGGGGCACAACTTAAATCACTTTAATATGTTGAGTTCCATAGCCTACTCACATTACCATAGTGACTATAGTGATTAGTATAACATTCTTCATGTATTTTGAGTAGCATAGCCTACCTTAAATAAACTTAGCGAATAGCATACCCTACCTCACGTAAACAAATATCATCCTCCTCAGTTTGAACATCCGTCTGATCATAACATCGTAGTAACCTATTTTCAAAATATAATGGAAGATGTTTAATTATATTTTAAAGCGAGTTTAGTTTATTGAGTTATAATTAAATCTGCGATATTAATGATCTCATTTTCATCCTCACTGCCGAAAATTACTTCTGCAATAATTTTTTACCAAATTCATCCGAACAGAAGCCCCCTCCATGAAGATAAATAACCCCTGGAAGCCTCTCTACATCTCTCATATCGGCCGGGCGATAGATACGAACAGGTACTCCTTCTATTGCTGTGTCTTCTGTCTATTTTAAAATATAAAGCACTGGTTTAGACAAATTCTTTTTTCATTTTAAAATATCTTTTTCACAATTCTTTCCTAAAGTTTCATTTACTACGCAACTATGCATGTAAAAGAAATGACGAAAGGTTGTGAATGACAAGTATAACATTGCCAATGGGACTTATCTTGAGGAATTGTGCTATACCATATATGAGGTCAATGCGATGATTTAGCCACCTGAGGAGTACAGCATTCACCGCGCCCAAAGGACGAGGTGAATGTTGTACTTCGAGAATGGCTAAAATATTGTATTGACTGAAAAAACCCAGCAATAATTGTTTTATAATAGGGTTTACTTTGAAAAAGAAAATACAGTGAAAACATATATATAGTGTGACATACTGAAATTCCTAAATCCGGTGGGTTGCTAGTGATTTCTGGGTAGATATTCCCACGAACGATCTGCATTTCATGTTCTTTCCCCCGCCAAACCTGCAATTTTTTCTGTTTAACAAAAAAAAAAAAAAAAAATAAATAACATATTCTATTCTTTTATAGTTTCAATCTGATTAAAATCAGATCCTTTGATCCGCTCACAAAGATCTATGTGAGCGGATCAAAGGATCTGATTTTAATCAGATTGGTTTAATATTATATTTAATAATCATTTTGTATTGGTATGCTAAATAAATTAATGTAAAAAAACAAAAGCGCTTCACACCCACATTATCAGTACTGTATCATCTACTATAGATATTTAATCATACCCAGAGATTACGGAGTCGTAATCCCGCCAAAAACTTCTGTCTTTGAAACTTTTCTTCGGCAGTAGCAGGCATAGGAACATACAAGTACTCAATAGCACAGGCGAGTGCTACGACCAACATGGACAGGCCTCCAACAATCGTATACCCTGCTCCAACAAGGCAAAAGGCGATCACAAATCCTGATCCGAAAATCACAGTTCCCATGGTCTATCAGCAAACAGAAAATGGAAAGAGAATGCGTTGAATGAAATGTTCCTTACTTTGCCTGAGGTGCATCTGTGGATATTACGTAAGATGTCATTGTATACGTATATCAGTGTCTTTTAAATTAACACATACTTACTTGAAAAACAGCTAGATTCGTAAGGAATCGCAATGGTTGTAATGCATAATTCAATGCATATGTGTTACTTTTTTTTGCTTTGCTTCTGCTGCTTATGATCATTAATCTACTGAAATATTAATTTTATTTTGTCCGTCTGTCTTACTAAAATACTACGTCAAGTCTCCCAGACATGCTATAATCAAGATATATGTCGCATTCTCAAAGCATGTACACAGTCAGTATTCATATACAATATTATAAGTAACTTTCTTTGGATACACATTAAATTCAGCAAGGAAACTCATTCTGAAAATTATTCAAAATTTTCAGTCCAAAAATTATTGACATAAAGCATGACACAGGTCCGTAGTAACGGTTTCAAAGGAGGGGGGGGGGGCTCCAAAAAAGTCTGAAAAGCAGAAAAAAAAATAATTCACTGTCCGAATCCTGGAATTTGCCAGTGCTCGACCTTACAGCAACAAAAAGTTGTTGGGGCGGGGGGGGGGGGGGAGGGGGGGGGACACAACCAGCATCTTAACGAAAAGTTACTATAGGAAAAATTCTATACTGGGTGAATTCAAAAAAATGACCACCAAACTGAATTTTTTTTGGCAAAATTCAACTACTTGTAACATATTTTTTCACTTATATCATCATATTGCAAATGCATTCTAGTTTAAAATCCTGAAGTGGCAATAGAATAGACAATTGGATTAAAAAGTTTCAGGATTTTTATTAGAAAAATTTCTTTTAAAAAAAAAAAATAATAAAATTACACCTTAAAAGACTTTCTAAAATACATAATCACAAGAAATTATAGTTTTTTATGCTTCAAAATGGTAAAAGGGGTATAAATGATTAAATCTAGACCTTGAATGAGTATCTTCTCTTGTACATGTGACAAAAAATTGGCTTTTTGATTGTTATTTTACATTATTTTTTTAATTCTGGTTTGAAAAGTTTTAATATGAAAAAAATATGAAGCAATAAAATTCCCTAAAATTCACTTTTTTGTCCGTTCAAGTCAATTCTTTAAATCAAAGCCAAAAAAGAATTGTTTTATACGAGTTCTCTTACAAAAAATACTAGATTTTGAAGTGACCCTATGTTACATTATTGTGTTGCACTCCTGACATCTGATATGTATTTTATTTAACATTGTTTTAAAAATTATAACACACAATAACCCATTCTTACTTTGTAAATCAGTTTGCCGTGTCGATATTTTTCATCGTTTACAGCAGGTTTTTCATATGTTGAAGACCTTAAAACATGATTATTTGCAAAGTGTAATATATATAAAATGTATTTAAAATATATGTGAAATGATGAAAACTATTCCCTGAATTGACTGTAAAATTTCTGTAATTTGTTGATAGACATAGTGTTTTGAACATCAAATAGTATCAAACATTTTTTTTTCAACTTATTTTTTAGTAAAGAGAGTTAAAAAGCATCGGTAATTATGAAGCAGTTTTGTTGCACTCCTGACTGCAGTAAAGTTTAAAATTAAAACCATAGAACACAAAAATTCATAAAGTGTTGGCAACATCAAGTGGTAATGAAATTGTGCAATACTTATAGTCCAATACTTCATAATTAAAACAGATGAAAGTATTAAAAATTCGCATTTTATCTGGAATTATACCCTATTTTATGCCCAAAATCTAGCTTAAATGTATATTTAGAAGATAAAATATATTTTAAAGCATATTTTCCTTTAGAAGACAAACACGGTAACCCACCAGAGAAATTCTACTCATCATTTTTTCTTTATTTTTATTCTTAGTGGATGATTTATAATTCTAACATATTTGTTGCACTCCTGACCAAAAGCATTGGGGCCTTTAAAGTAGAATTGTGAAGTGAAAATTACATAAGAACTTGTTCTGTTGTTTCAGTGAAGTTGAGGAGGAATTACTTGAATTTTATGACAATGTTTTAGTGTGTTTATTTTTAACGTTCATTAAAAAAATCACAAAAAGATAAAAACACAACTGAATTGATAAAATGGAAAAAGGAAGGATTTTAATAATAAAACTGTCAATAGTTTAGCATTAAATTATACAAAAAGATCCTTATTAATTAATGAATACTTCTAAGCATGAATAGAAGTCTTTTCGTCACACAACTTGAATCTTTTAAAAATGTGTTGCACTCCTGACCATAGAAATATGGATCTGAAGCACAGACAGATCCTGTAATTGATAAATCTATTTGGTAAAAATGTTCTTTGTGTCTTTATTTTCCAAAATAAAAATCAGAAAATCATATAATGATAATAGTTTTTTCATGCTTGGGAGCAAAACATCAAATGTTGCACTCCTGACATTTTGGGGTATGCACATATACATGTACTTGACTCTCATTAATGCTGCTTGTGATTTATATAACATTTTTAAGTTTTAAAATGTATATCAATTATTATTTTACACTTCCAAAATTCTTTTTTGTCTTAATTTTCTATCAGAACTTTACAATTGATGTTTTTTGGCAACACTACATTTTTTCTGTTGCACTCCTGACATGGTATAACATTTTTTTAAACATCAGTCATGACCACAACTTGATTAAACAAAAGTTATGACAGTCCACATTTAAAGCTCAATACTTTGAATATGAAGCATTATTTTTTATTTCACAGATCTCCAAAAAATATTGAAATTTCAAAATGTCACAAAAAGATGTTGCACTCCTGACAATTTTAGCATCATTTTTGGGCATGACTTTTTTGTTAATTGAGATATCAACGAGATATTTGGCAGGTATTTAAACACTATCTAAAGACATATGCTGAGACATAGAAATCTATTTTCATTGCCTGTATTTTTAGTGTGGGTTGATAAATATGCATTTGGTCATTTTTTTAAAATTCACCCTACTCAGAAAACAGTGGGGTTGGGGTTGGGGCCACCCCTCCCTCCCCCCCCCCCCCCGCGTTCTACGGGCCTGTGACAGAACCTTTCATTTTCTCATTGAATTATCATTAGACTGGGATAACTTCTGGGGCACTGACAATATATTGTTCAAAGTACTTTACCTGATCTTTACGGACGAAGTAAGCGTTCAACACTTACAAAATTAGGCTGCTGTAAATGTTGTTTGGAGTGCGATAATACTCATGTTATGGAAAGCCGTAGGGTACCCCAATATTATTTTTTTTACTTATATAAGTACACCAAAAATTATAGTTATCTCATCCAAAAATTAAAATCCTGCTTTTTTACAACATTTTTATTTTCCCAATAATGTGTGGGTACCCTACGGCTGTCCATAGTTCTAACGCATTCTTGAGTTTTTCAAAAATTAAAAAATGAATACGCTTTATAAAAGTTTAAAAAAAAAATGAATCTTAAAAATTGAAATACATTCACCTAGAATGTTTGAGCTCTGAGCAACTGCGCATTTATTGCTTCTACGTTACAACATCTCATTTCACCCTCCCAAGTCCTCAGTGAACGATACCAGATATTTAACAAAATTTTTAACAATTTTTTAACAAAAAACCCACACTGACCAAAAGTGGGGAACCAACTTCACAAAATAATCCGATAAGAAAAAAAGGTTAATTTACTGTCCAAATCCTGGAATTTGCCTGTGCTCGACCTTACATCAAAAAGTGGGGGGGGGGGGACCAGCATCCGAAGGAAAATTTACTATAGCATAAACTATACTCAGAAAAAAGGGGCGCGTTCTACGGGCCTGTCTATAATGTTATCTATAGTGCTTTTAACCTCAATTAACAAGGTCGAGGCATATAACGCAAACTTCCAATGACTTATTCTACATTGGGCTGAAACGTGACATATATGTAATATATATTATCTACTTGAAATCACATAAGCTAAGTTACACCCTCCCCACTTACAAGGAGGCATTTTAGTGGATGTATGCACGACTCTTCGTCAGTTGATTTTTTTGTGGGAATAAAATCGCATTCATGTCAAAGCCTTTAGAATTCTTGCACCAACAATACCCTTTTGACTTCATTTTCAGATTTTTCCGCTAGATGAGGTGCAATGCGCACTCAGTCATATTTAGTAGGCTTTGGCAACACCTTAAGAAACGAAAAGATTACCTAGGACGTGGGTCCGAAAACAAGAAACGAAAAGATTTGCTAGGACTTGGGCCTGAAAACAAACTGATCAGTCAACCATTAAATTATCGACTACGCAAAGTTGAAGATGTTCTTATTTTTACAATTCAAAATTGAATCCAATGTCTTATTTTTTCTGAAAATAAGATGTTGCATTTTTTATGCATGTCATTATAACATCAGAACTGAAACAATGAATTTCCTTTAAAATAAAACCAAACAATCAGCTACATCTTTTTGCTAACAAAATCTGCCTTACTTTACCTACAGGCACCCTAATTTAATTGTTTATATCTATCCATCTAAGCTTTTTTATTCATTTCAGAGTATAAGTAGTAGGGTTGGTTATGCTACTCATTAATCAAGCATACATGTATTTAGCTAGGAATTGTATACTTGTAAATTTATAATTTATGGCTATTAGCATATTGTTATATACTAGGGTTTGGTAACTGATTATATAATGATATATAATACAAGATTTTTTCAACATTTTAAATGTGGATATCCTAGATACTTTTCACTATCACCATATCATTTGTTAAGATAAATGTATGCATAAATTACTTTTGTCCCTTTAAGCATCCTCCACTAATAATTTACTTTCTGCTTTAAAAATTGTCACATTGGAGATAAATTTCTTTTCAGGATTTCATAAATAGTGTTCATAACAAAGCACTGATAGTGATAACATAATAAGTGTCCAAGAAATTATATTCTTTAAATAAATGAAACAAAATACAGATGTGTCAATTTAGCTCTTAATAAAATAAGTATACACATATGTTAAGAATCACAAATATGCTTAAGCTCATTAAAATATTAAAGCCTGGTCCACAAGCACATTGAAATTGTCAATATCATTAGCTTTGTTCATTCTAGGATAGTTTCTCAAAAATAATCAAAATATGTCTTGGAACACATCATAAAAGTATTCAATACATTTAAACAACAGTTGACTATCATTAAGTATACACTGCAATCATATCACACAAATTTACTCTGTTTAAGACAGGGATATGACATCATAAAAATAAAGCATATCATAAATGTAATACTGAACGTAAAAAGTTATATTGTTACTGTAAAACAATAATTATTAATATCACACATAGATTACCACTGGATCTTACACACTGAAAACAATAAATAACCTAGTCACATACATGTATATACTCTAACTACTCACATACATGTATATACTGGTACATTACATTTTCTATTATGCTTGCAAATATATTAAAAATGGTACAATTTACCTCATATAGCTTATATACACTGCTTTCATTCAACTTTTCTTAATCAAAGGACCAGTGCATGAAGCCTACAGAAATATGATACTGAAATTTCTTGTACTTTACCAGAAACAAATGAATTTATTGTCAAAATACATTCATATTAAACCAAAACAAAATTATCTTGACACTTCATGTGGCTTATCAAAATTATTTTTAGTCTTATCAGATTTTCAAACTAAAGAAAGGATTCAATAATCAATGTGAATATTCAACATAGATGTTGCATTTGCTTATAATAAATCTGATTTATTAAAATGTTAAACTCAGTAAGATTATAAATCTAAAAGAGTACAAAACAACATAACTTAATATCATTTCCATTTACCTGTATTTAACCAATGTTTAATTTTACCCTATATTTAAAATACATGTATATCAAACTACTAAAATTCACACTTTTTCCATGTCATCCTCTTTTTAAAAATCTCACCAAAACTCAAAACTTGCACCACTGTCACTCACTTCTACTCAATGTTTTTCTAACCAACATTTTAAATATCACAGGGCACTGAGTGCTAGTACTTTAGGCAATACCTCCTTCAACTCAATGCTTTAAATTAGTACCTAATCTAACTTCAGTTAACACTGCTTTTCTCCCTTGATTTCTCTAGGTACAACATGTGGTTCATGTGGAAGTTCCATGCGGCGAGGATAGAAAGTGTGGTCTATAGGATAATGAAGAAGATTGACAACATTGGACATGTAAAGGTCTGCAAAGCGAGCCAGCCTTCGAGAGAAATAAGTAGGATTGTGATATGTTCTGAATATGCTTCCAAACTGGGCGTTAAACAGAGACTTTGTATAATTCCTAAAACACAAAACAGTAACATTTGAATCACTTCTCACATACCTTTCAAAAATAAATTAATAAGCAAGTGGACCACAAGAGATCAAACTCAAATAAATCAAAGCCATTATAAACTTGATTTATAAATACATGTACATTTGAGTTTGGCAAAAGATGTCATATCCATAAAATATTCAAATGAATGATAAATTCGCCAAAATGGCTTGCCAAAACCTAGTTAAAGCACAAAACCTATTTGAGCATACATTTACTTAAAGCTCTTAAAATTGTTTACATGCAAGACAAATCGCATCTGCCATTTAATTTTTGTGATTAAATCATACACTCAATGAAAGAAATATGTCTGTAACTTTAAAAAATAATCAACAAATTGGTAAAGGCATCAATTATAATTTTACAAAATGAATTGTTAGAAGAGCACAAGTCCTTTTTTTTTCCTTTGGTCTCTAAAATACAGTCAAACCTCGTTATCTCGAACTCCATGGGACTGAGAAAAAACTTCTAGATATCCAATGATTCGAGATATCAAGGGTAAAATACTAAAAGAATATGTGGTTGGGATTTCCAAATCACTTTGACATATCCATAATATTAGAGATATTGGTGTTCATGATATCTAAGTTCAACTGTAACTCTTAATTAACAAATAGAAAAATAACATACTTTTAAGCTCACTGAATATTTTAGATACTGAAGATACAACTTTACCTGATTTTTTTTCTTTCATCTAACCAACACTGTCTGATCTGACTGGTGTCTTGTGTTCTATCCATCTGTAATGAGGAGAAATAACAACTGGACTTAATATTTCATGCTTTTTACATGTACATGTACAATAAAACAGAATAGATATATTAATCTGTACAATGTCAAAATGTGCTGAAACCCTCAGGGTTTCTTTTTCTCACTTTACCTGAGCATTTTCAATCAAATCTTGTAAAGTACACAACCATTTCACAGCTAGTTGGTATTCTAGATTATTGGACTTTATGATCTCAGCCTGAAAAGAAAGAAAATATGAGCTAATTGAAGTATCAAAGAGGATCCGAACTTATCTTATGTCTATATAATGTTCTCTCTAAAAACTGATTGACAATAATTTAGATAAATCATATATAAACTTGCACAATACAAACATGTATTTACATATATATTTGTCTCTACCTCTAACTCTGGTATAATGGCTCCTGTTCTCCAACCATGCTTCAGTGAAGGATCCTAAATAACACAGACAAAAAAAATATATACTGTCATGTATAACTACAAGTTCTATCAAATTTCTTTGAGTAATACTTGATATATTTCATTGTGCAGTGACACAATTAACCCAATATTCTCTTTCAAACCTAAGAATCTATTTTGTAATCTCTGCAGTGAGTCAAACAAACTTGAGATCTTAATTTCATGTGTTTAAGCAGCTTTACACATGCATTACACAAGGTTAAGGAAGGCAACTTACTGCCAAATCACTGTATACATGATCCCCAAAATATAAAACGTTGAATCCATACCATCCCGTCATACTCTGGAGCATGTAATAATTTCCCTAAAAAAAAAACAAACAGATTTTCAACAGTCTGAGAATGCATTATAGAGGTACAAATGACCTCTGATTTACATATATAGATGAACCAACATGTGATCAATAATCTTATTACAATTCCTGTAATTTCTTTTCCTATCCAGTAACACCACTCATTTTTATATCTTTTTCTCACCTGCTGGTAAATTTTTCCTTTGCTCAACTCTAAAACTCTGTCATAGGACTCATTCTGAGTTTCTGGGTCATAAATTCTGAAAGGTCTGGAAGAAAAAAATGGAAAAAAAAAATTACAAGTAAAGTTAAACAAAGAATGCTGGGGTACACCTGTGCCTAGATTCTTATAAACAGTTTCTAAAATCTATTACTGGAAGTTCTTACGAAAATAGCCTTGTAAGGATTTCAACAAATTAAGTGATAAAAATACATTCTGTTTATATTTACTGCAGCTTGAAGCAGCACTTTTACTAGTCTCATACCAGGAAAATAACTTTCATTGAGTGTCATTCTCATTGTGAGGTGTACACTTTTTGTTAATTTAGTGTCATAAAACTTGCTACAATGATTAAGCATCTAAAAGTTTCAGGGCTTAAGACAAAATTAAGTTTTAATGTAAAAGAATATTTACCTTTTACTTTCATTGAAAAATTTTGGTTTTCTAGCCTTGGTTATGATAACTTGAAACAGATCTCTCCAGTTATCTCCCACCATGAATTTCATTCCAGCGTCCCTGTTTGAAAACAAAATAAACAAGATGCGTAACACTGGTGCCCCCATATGGCATCTCAAAGCCAAGGCTGAAGTTTTTCAAATGTAGGTCAAACTCCAAGGTCAATGTCAAAGTTCAAAAATGTTGATACCCATAGAAAGGTCTTTACAAAAGGAATACACATGTGAAATATAATAGCCCTAGTACCAACCTATCAGAAAATATGGCCAAGGTTAAAGTTTTCAAAAAGTAGGTCATACTCCAAGGTCAATGTCATGAGGACACCATAGAAGGGTACAAAAGGAAAGGTCTTGTCACAAGAATTGCATAAGTGAAATAAGAAAGCCCTAGCAGCAACCATTCTGAAGTTATATGCAAGGTTAAAGGTTTTTTTCAAATGCAGGTCAACCTCCAAGGTCAAGGTCAAGAGATCGAAAATGTTGGTACCCAAAGAAAGGTCTTGTAACAAAGAATACACATGTGATGTATAAAAGTCCTAGCACTCATCATTCAAAAGTTATGGCACACTTTTTCTTTAATAAGAAATAAAATATTGTAGAGATACTTGAGCATTTTATTTCAATTTCAACTTACACAAAAGGGAAGCCACTGTTGGTGATCAGGAAGAGTTGTTTCCCTTTATTAACCAGAGTTTCAAGTAAAAGGTTAATACCTGTTTCTTTGTCCAAATATGTTTCTAAAAAATAAATCCAAATTCAGTGTATTAACATGATCTGCTAAATGTAATTAAGAAAATTTTCATACCTTCATGTTGAAAAAATCATTTTTTGCAAAACAATTCCTTGAAAAGAAAATACCTGGGTCATTTCAACTGAATGTTTGTTGATTCAACAAGCAAAAAGTTACTTTTACCAGCAACAAGTATTACCAAGCAAATAAAAAAAATGGATCTTTGTTTACTATATACCAGCATTAACCACTGAAAGTGATCAAAAAAGCTCACTAGAGCTTATAGCTCAGAAGAGATAAATACTGTGTATGTTTGTCAACATAAAAAGTTTCCTGTATTTAATTAAAGAATACAGTAAAAACACACTTGAAGCAAAGTGCCAAGAAAAAAAATTTGATTTATTATAAACGTAGTTCGTTACATCAGATAAGTACTATTACATTTTAAAACCAAAGGAATAAAAATCACTTCACTGTAAGCATAAATTTGTTATAACCGTGTTCACTTTAACCGTGTTTTACTGTAAATTGATAAAATAAATAGACATGATCTTACCTAGATCAGCCATTATCTGACTATGGAGTTGACCAGAATTGTGAACACTTTGCACAGCTGACTGAAAGTTTCAAATTTATTATTAATAAAATGTCTATTTCAGTTCATTACAACCCCATTTATTTTAGCTTTAAATACACCATGCAGAAATTAATAAGAACTACTTATGAGAAGAAAAACTTCCATTTTTCACACTCCTCATACAAATTCAGCAATATAAATTGAGCAATGTTTTAAATTACACAGGGACTGTACATATAGATACTTGCATAACTTTTCAATTTGAATTTTCATGACTGTTTCAAAGATGAAACTTAAGCAAGATCAAATCCTCGCAGATGGAATACCAATGACTGGATTGATCATTAATTGGAAAACTTTCAAGTACATGTATTATAATACATGCTGTCTTTAACCTGATGTCATAAAAATTTATAGTTATTGGCAATTCATACACCTACCCGGACATCATGGAACACATACTCTGGATCATATGGAATGCCGTTCTCCATGAAAAACTATAGTGAAAGAAAAAAGGTTGATTCTGGAATAATGGTTCAATTCATGAAGAAAACATTTCTGTAACGTTTTGTGCAAGAAAAATCACTATGAGAGAGAATATCAGATTTTCTTTAACTTAATCTTGCAATGAATATCCATTACAAATGAGTAGTTGATAATTATATAACAATAACATCCTCTTGCATTTTTAATTTTAAACGTGTCAAAGATTTTTCAACATTTATACATGTATAAATAATAATTTTAAAAAATTCTTTCAAGTAAAGTTTTAATTTTTTTAAATCCATGAAACTTACATCTGTAATATTGCATAAAAGTGTCATTTCTGGAGGTGCAAATAGGTCAACCAGCTGGTACATTGGTCCCTAAAAGCACAAATTAGTTACCAATAACATCAGCACATAATTATATAATTTATACTTAAAATTCTTTATAATATTAATTGTACACTGTAATCCCAAAAATTCAATACATGCATGTTCACATTTTTTTTAAACTTATATCTTACAGGTAGTTCATTTAAGATCAGCTGAGTCTTTGTCAATTTTTGAACAATTACTTAACTGTTCCATAAAATGTATTCATATCCTCCAAAGAGACATGTATCCCTCCATACAAGGTTTTCACTGCCTCATCACTGAGTCCTTTAGTACCTCTATAATGGAAAGGGGACACAACTCAAACACAAAACATGACAAAGTATATCTTTGGATCAACAAAACAACTGTTTAAAATATGTTGTAATGCATATAGATTTATTTAATACTAGCAGAGGCCTTCTATACTTTGATGTTTTGAACTATACATGTATATAGTAATTAACATTAGTGCCACTCATTTCATGCTAAAGTGCTTGTATGTTATTTTGTTGTATCATTTGTATTCATATACCCCAGTTGGGGTCTTTGTCTTAAATAAAAACTTGAAACTTGAACTCTATGGGACTGTTGTCAATATAGAAATATTCTCAACAAAACATGTATATTTCCAATAATAATTACCTGTATACAGTTCCTAATTGTATGTTATGGAAGGAATCAAGTTTTAGCAACAAGCCCTGAAAGTAAAGTGATCTTTGTCACGTCAGAACAGAGTCAATTTATTGTTATGATTTCTTTCTCTTTCAGACAGATAGTTTTAAGTTATAGAGTGATCAGCCCTTAAATGTAAGATAATAAAAAGAAATCTGCAGTGAATGACACATTAGACCAAGATACAAATGTAATTAAATATATTATTTGCATGTTTTAAGTTATAGAGTGATCAGCCCTTAAATGTAAGATAATAAAAAGAAATCTGCAGTGAATGACACATTAGACCAAGATACGAATGTAATTAAATATATTATTTGCATGTACACTCAAATCTCATTATCTTGAACTCAATGGGGCCCAAGAAAAAACTTCCAAGATATCCGAGGATTCAATATATCATGGGTGAAATACTTAAATATTAAGTGGTTGAGACTTCCAAATCACTTCAACATATCCATGGTATTCAAGATATCAGTGTTTGAGAAATCGAAGGTCAACTGCATTTCCCCAATGTAAGTGAGCAAGTGATTTAGAACTGTTCACTATAATATTTTGTCTTTGATCATTTTTTCTGGGGAAATATGGCAAGAACTCTATGTTGAAAATGCACTACAAAAACTCAATAATGAACACCTTTATATGATATAATTTTTTCAAAGTACAAAAAATATGCAGGGTTTAGAGCTTCCTTTAAGCAAAAGTATAAAACAAAATCTGCTTACCCAGTTCTTGGTCAATTAATAAACTGCTATACTTTTTCACTTTTATTCTGTATTATGCTGTTCATGCCAACAAAATGAAACAAGCTACCCAATTTTTTTTTTTTTTTTTTTTTTTTTTTTTGGCATATGCAAATGTGGATTGCAGTGTGTTTTCTTCTATTGTTAAGTTACATCATGTATATTGTATTGTTAAATGTAGAGCTATTCTGCTTGATAAAATTAAATTTTTCAAAATGTAATACTATACATAATTCACAGATCATGATAAACTATGCCACATGATTTTTATCATGCATTCTGCATGCTCAGTATCAGTGTATTCCTTTTGATAAAATGACACAACAATTAAGGCAGACACCAATGAGAACACTGTGCTTAACAAACACCTCTTGTTCAACTTCAGATAGCATACATGTATTGATACATGACCTAAACTCTCAAATTTTGGCCATGCAAGAAAATTTTTTTTCCCCTCCTTAATTTAGACTCTAAGTTTTTGACTAATAAAGGAATGAATGTCAAATGATTTGAAATTTTTTAAAAATCTAAATAATCAAAGACAATAACAATTCAACTTAACTAATTCTGTCTCAGCTGGTTCAAAGGTGCACAAATGATAATGGTGATTTTTCATTTTTCACTCATACTGATGTCTCAAACATTGCATTAACTTTTCCCAGTATCATTAGTTATCACCCCAGGAGTACCAATATAAATTAATTGTCTTACCTTTTTGACATCATAATGACACCCTCTTACTGCAAAATCTGGACAGTACTCTATGTTGACTAGCTGATCAGGGTACTTAAACATAAATGACAATTAACAATTATTAAGCATAGCTATTTTTATGAAATATTTTTAAAGAATAGGACAAATACACGTATTTATTTTTAAAACAAAATTTCGCAAATACTCAGTATTGTGATTACCTCATAGTTATCTTACTTACTGCAACTGTTTTGCAGCAAAGTCATTTGTTTATACTAATGGCAATTGAATGATTCGTACAATCAATATGCTAAAGGTACAATGTACATATTGCTAAGAGCTGAATTCCAAATAGTGGGTTGTCTAATTAGAACTGCTTAGAGTAGTTTATTAGCTTCAAATGTAACAACTATCAGAAAGAAATGGTATGTAATGGTTTGGGCCGTGGATATCGGCATGGGTAGCTCAGTCTGTAGAGCACCTGACTAGTGATGCAGGGGTCCCAGGTTCGATTCCCTGTCCAGCAATACCTTTTCTCCTTTCCTGTTACAGATTAAATTTAATTAGAAGTGTTGGCTAATTGAAAAGTATCAACAAAAACAGGAGGATTAAATTAGCTCCTCTCAAGTTTTATTAGATGCTTGAGTTAATGTTCAGCAAGATATTTCACCAGAACTTTCTTATTCTTATCTGTCCTTAAAAAATCCATAATGATCGATCTAACAGTTAACAGACATTTCCTACCTCCATAACGAAAGAGGTCTGTTAAGTAAATGCAATATCATGTATTTAGAGCCTAAAAAACTTGGATACTCATAAAATTCCTCATTGAGATTTTTCAAAAGTTGGCACTTATGATGGGTATGGGTACTACTTCCAGTTGGTTTAAAAAAAATTGACCTTGATAAGATCATGTAAGGTAAACAAGAAAATTTTGGGTAAAGTGATATACTTCCAGGAGAAGAGACATATTTACCCGATATTTTTGAATAAGTGCTTCTCGTCCCAGTTCAAAAATGAGATGGTGAAGTTCTGGCTTGTAACATGCCAATGTGTAGTCATAGTCAAAGCCATAAATGTCAATTTCACTTAAAGATGTCTCGTTGTTGGCAAATATAGCATGAGGGTTTATCTGCACAGGATCTTTGAAACTCTCTGAAATTTTTTTTTTTATATATGAACAAAAAGTGTGCATTTGGCATTGAGCCCACTCAGATCAATTTCTTCTTTCTTAACAACATTAATCACTGGAAAAGGGTTATCAATGAACTACATTTATAACTGGAATATGAATTTATTACCACCACATAAAAAAGACACCTCCCCCTCCCCATCTTTTCAGAAGCAAAGAAATTTGTTATCAGAATCAGTGCCCTGAGATGCACATAACGTATACACAGAGATATTTCACAGAATGAAAAAAAAACATGCCTATTTCACTCAACACGTGGTAGACGCATGATAAGGCATGCAAAATTCTCTAGACTTTACTTTGATATTGAATGTAAAAACCCATGAAAACAACGTATCGAAAGTTCAAGCTGACATTGATTTTACCCTCCAGTTTCTTCTTTTGTCTGTGATAAATCTCCCACCAATCCGTTGATTGTGTTGCACTGTTTGAAAAGACACGTTGTAATATAATGTATTTCTTAAAAGATTTGTGAAGAACGTTCGTGGTTTGAAAAAAACATTTGATAGCTTTGCAACCCGTCTGCATTTCCTATTTTTACGCGCGGGGTATTATACTAGGCAAAGTTGATACGGATAGGCATAAAGTTTCCGGATTGATTTTATTAAAAGCTACTTTTCGAACATCTTCGCTAGCCAAGGGTTTCTGATACGCTACTCTCCTCATAAGCCCTTGGCATACGGTGTTAAAAAAAGTTGGGATTTTTTTCTCAAGCTGTGATTGGAGTTGATCGACATCATTCGACCAATCAGCAATTGTTTTTTGTAAATGACGATTTTTGCGTTCGGGATATATCTTGACTCTTTAATATCGGGAATGAAAAACGCAAGTAAACAACGATCCGTAAGATAACATGCCATTCTATGAATAGCTATATGGTGTAATCCAATAACTTAAGCTACGTGCAAAATATGTGATTAAGAATCTATACTGAAGATGTAGATTTGCATTTTAACATGTTTAAATAACAAATTAACATAACTCAATACCTTCTTGTTAATTATTCTTTAAAAACATTATATTTTTAAATACGCTTTTTATTTCTGTCGATGACGCAATCTGTGACCTGGTAAGAAGCGTGATCACGTGACGAAAACAATCCCGTCTTTTGTCAGCACTGTATGCCAAGGGTTTATGAGGAGAGTAGCGTATCAGAAACCCTTGGCTAGCGAAGATGCTTTTCGAAAATATTTAAACTTTCATTTTATCTCTGAATGTTCAGGATACAAAGGAAATCATTATATTTTTTTTCTTTTTGTAATATTGAAAGTCTGTGTTATGTATTTTAGAATTGACATGTTATCTAAGTCTATTTACGGTACAAGTTCGCAAAGGAACGCCCCCACCCCACCCCTCAAACTTTTGTTTGGTATTATAATATATATATACCGCCTATCCACAATTGTACATGTCAAGTAAGAATATACAGAAAAGAATAATAAATACTGTTTCAGGGGCGGGTCCAGAAATTTTAATTTAGTTGGGGGTGAAAAATATTTTCAGAGGCCAGGGGGCCTGGGGAATGCCTTGGCCACCAGTAGGTCCAGGGCAAATCCCTGGTGGAGGTCCAGGGGACGAAACCCCCGGAAATTACTGAATTAGAGTAATAGAGTAATGTGTAACCTTAAAATGACTATATAGCAAATATCTTTAAGAAACTTAGCAGAAAATAGAAAATAATTGCATGCATAAAAAGATTTCTGTATTAAAGCACTGAACCAATTAAATCTCATACAGGCCCGTAGGAAGCAAATTCAGTTTGGAGGGGGGGGGGGGGGCACAGCCATACATTTTAAGTAGACAGTTGAGGGGGTACTACCAAAAATTTTCTGACAAGCAAAAAAAAAAAAAAAAAAAAAAAAAAAAAAAAAATCAGACTTTTTTTTGAGGGGGCACAAGCATATAGTATCTATGTTTCCTATAGTAATCTATATATCGGCAAAATTATTGGGGGGGGGCACGCCCCCCCGTGCCCCCCCCCCGGTTCCTACGGCCATGTTATATTTTATAAATGTATCTATTTTCAAACGTATTTTCAATAAAATGACAGATTTCCTTTTATTCTTTCCGTTTATTTATGAATTAGAAGCTCTTGGTACACATGTAATCTAATTTATGAAGAAATGGGGGGGGGGGGTAAAGCCCCTCTAAATCCGCCAGTGTATATTGAAATCTGCAGTAAAAATCAAAATTTACATTGAAAATATTGTAGTCTAATTAAAACCCTGCATGTTTAATCGGCTAGCTTTTCTCATGTGCAAATGATTTGCATATGTGTTAATATATACTCATGTAAGCATATTTCGCTGAATAAACGCACTGACATTTATCAGCTAAGCAAAAAATACTCCTAGATGTAGGCATATTTGCACCTAGTCAGGGGTACAGCAAATGTCTCTACTCATATAAAAAAAAAAAACCCAAACAACTATTGTGTGCTAAATGGTTCATCTATAGTGTTTCTTGATGGAAAAATCTTTCCAGCAAGCCTTCTATGGATGAAAAGTTCAGTCTCTTTCTTAATTCTAAAATCTTGAAATTCTCCAACCATCTTCCCGAACTAGATGCTTCACTGTGGTTTTCTTTTAATTTTACACCCAGAGAAGCATCATACCGTAATCCCATTGCTAATCAAATACATATGAAATAATTCTCTTTCTCCAGTATGACTGAGGCCCTTTTTTATGGAAATCATGCTAAAAAAATAATAAAATTGTAGAAAACATACGTATTTATTCACAGTACATGTACATACATGTAAAATCACAGAAGAACGCCTAATAAATTTAGGGGACGACCATTTGATTCTGAGAGGGGGGCTGGCAGATTTTGAAAATAAATAATCTGTCCTCGAAAATGTTGAAAATTAAATAATCTGTCCTCGACTGGGGCAAGAAAATGAATAATCTGTCCGTCCGTCCTTGATTAGTGCTAACCCCCCCCCCCCCCCGAGTTTTGGAGTTTGGCCCGTTTTCCCCCTTTTTTCTTATTGCTTGTCAATAAATAGAATAATGATCCTTGATTAAGTCTCTTTTTGTGGCAAGATTTTAATCAGACTAAAACTGTAGGAGGTGTAGCCTTTAGAAAGAATTTTACAGAAATTTCGATTTTAGTTACCATGGCAACATCATTCACCAAAATCGAAAAAACGATAAAGGCAATTATGTATCTCAGTGTAGTCTACTTGTATGCCACGTTATTATATTAAATTCAGACCAAACTGTATGAGGAGTAGCATTTTGAAAGTATTTCACAGAAATTTCTATTTATAGTAACCATGGCAACACCATTCATCAAAATCAAAAACCGATATATAGAATTATGTATCTTAGTATAGTCTACTTGTGTGCTAAGTTATATTGAATTCAGACCAAAACTGTAGGAGGGGTAGCGTTTTGAAAGTATTTTACAGGAATTTCTATTTTTAGTAACCATGGAAACATCGTTCATCGAAATCAAAAACCAATACACAGAATTATGTATTTTAGTGTAGTCTACTTGTGTGCTAAATTACATTGAAAGCAGACCAAAACTGTAGGAGGAGTAGCGTTTTGAAAGTATTTCACAAAAAATACTATTTTAGTAACCATGGCAACACTGTTCATCGAAATCAAAAACCAATAAAGAGAATTATATACCTTAGTGTAGTCTACTATTGTGCCAAGTTATATTGAAATCAGACCAAAAATGTAGGAGGAGTAGCGTTTTGAAAGTATTTCACAAAAAAATCTATTTTTAGTAACCATGGCAACACTGTTCATCGAAATCGAAAACCGATAAATAGAATTATGTATCTTAGTGTAGTCTACTTGTGTACCAAGTTATATTGAAATCGGACCAAAACTGTATCAGTAGCGTTTACAGACAGACAGGCAGACAGACGGACGACGGACACCTTACTATCGCATAAGCTCTTCTGATTTCTGACCAGTAGAGCTAAAAATGTTTATACATATATTTTAACACGTCCCCAATTTTATATACCGTTGTATATATAGCGTTAGATTTTACGAATGGGATCGCTTTTTGATGTACATGTATTTAAATTTCACAGTTTATATAATTGAATGACTTTTTATTGTTGTGTGGTGTGTTAATTTATACAAGTTTTGAAGCCTTGGTTATACATCCATGTAATTACCTTATTTAAATCCGTGCTAGTCACCTGTATAAGATTAAACAAGTTGCATGTCGCCTAGAAATCAAAAGCATGGAAATATTTTAAAATAAGACAGATCAGTGCAGCTTATGGAAGGCAAATCCATAAAAAATATTATCATGTTGTATAAACTTAAAATTTTGCATTATCCTCTCCTAGTAAATTCAAAATTTACAACATGATAATATTCTCGCATTTATTTTCTCACGTGCTCCTTCTGAACCATTCCAACTTGTTCAGTCTCATAAGAATGTTTTTTTTTTTGTTTGACAGGATATAGTACATCCAAACTAGGTTGTTTTCGTCGCATGTTGAATTTTTTTTAAAAAAATTGAATTATATTAAATTTTTAAATTTAATTATTCAAGGACATTTTCTTAAAGAAGATATTATGTGTATTTATAATTGTACATGACGTTCATATCAGTACATTTGTGTTTTTATAAAAAAAAAAATATACTGGAAAATGAAAATTGTAATGACGTTACATAAAATACGGTACTATTCAGTATATACATGTTTACCACGAGCAAAGATGTCCCGAGATCTAATGAAAAATCATCAGAGTAACCGGTTACTCGATCGGAAAAGTAAGCGAGTAACCGGTTACTAAAAATCGTCCGATTTGACAACACTAACATGAAGTAAAAGGTTCCCGGGCTGTCTTCGGCCTCACGGCCTCAGGCAAACATTTGGGTCTTGGCATGGGTCCGACAAAACGCATGTTGCCCTCGAACCCAGTCGATAAATGTACACATATGATGTATAATTATAATGACGGCGCATCGCGTTTAATTTAATTTTTTTTGGAGGGGGGGGGGCTCAAAAGTAAATAAAAGAGATGTATGAACTACCATGAAGTACTTAAGTAATATCGTTTCCGGTACACTTAAACTTGATATACTCCAGTAGGTTGTATACATGTAAGTATACAATATACAACTTCGAGCCCCCCCCCCCCCCCCAAAAAAAAAAAAAATCACCACAAAACCCGCCTAATAATGATTTCTTTAAATGCTTTAAAAAAACTCCATTGACTCTAATATAACATTTGGCCAGTTGATCATTTCACATATTCATTGACCCTTGCAGCGTGCATCGGTTCATGTCTAGTTTTATACATGTAATGTCACACTACATATTTCTCTGTATGAATAAAGCTAGGTCAAAAAAGGTCACTGACATTGTATAAAACGAACGACTGTAAAACATGTACACTTGACAAAGATTATTTCCTGTGATAAAATTTGTACAGTATTTCATACCTGTAGTATTCTACAATCTCCCATTTGTAATAAAAGTGAGCTACAAGTTAAAATCTTTTAGAAATGTCATATTGAGAAGAAGGTTTTAAAAACTCATCATAAAGAAATAGCCACAGCATATAATGTAAAACCACCTCTCATAATAAATACCCACAGCATATAATGCAAGTTCA